GGGCGGGTGCTCGCGGGGCCTCGAGTTACCGTCCTGCAGCAGCGCCGTCTTCCCGGCAGCCCGCAGACTCTCCACCCAGCTCGTCACCGCCATCTTCCCAGGGCCTGCGACCGGCCGATGCCATGGCAACCGCGCCACGCAGGGTCACTTCCGGCTGACCCGGAAGCTGTCCTGGACACTTGTCCTCTCCCCCTCCCCCCTGCCCCTATTCCCTTGGTCGGCTCCCATTGGCCCCCTGGTAAGTAGTTCATCCCCACCGCCCTTCGCCCGGGTGGGGGGCAGACTGAAGCCGACCCCACTCCGGAGTGGGAGGGAGTGAAGGGGGGCAGGAGGGAGGGGCTCCTGGGACGAGCTGGGATCCTGCAAGGCCCCTTCTGGCCTCCAGCTAGGCGTCCTGGCCCGTGCCAGCTGCGCACGCGGCGGCGACACCGCACCTGCAGGGGTCTCTCCACCCCCAGCTGTGCGGCCGAGGCACCCCCGGTTCTGGAGGGCGCCCCACACACCTGCTGCCTCACCCCGGCGCCTCACCCCCCGCAGCTGTGCAGCCGGGACCAGGGCTTGTGCAGAGCGTGCCCCCTGTACCCCTGAACCCCTCCCGCCTCAGGTTGGCCTCTGTGCATCTGTGTGGCGGGTGGAGAAAAATAATGTGGGGCCCAAGTCCCTCCTAAAGCTGCACCTCCATTCCTCAGCCTAGCCTCCCTTTGGGTGAAAACCCTTTGGACGAGGGTCACCAGAGAGGCAGGCAGCGCACTGATTGCGTTGTGCAACCCGTGGGGCGGCTGATGGTCTCTGCAGCCCCCTCCAAAGCCCTCCCACCGTAAGATTGGTGAGTGGAGAGCCAGGCTGAATCACTGAGGTTCAGCTAAGTTTTGAGACACCCCTGGGGAATGAGGACGAGGGAGTGGGGGACACTGATTCTGAATTGCCTCCCACGTGACTGTGGCCCTGATTAACCCTTGGGCAGAAAGACCAGGATCTAGCCCCAAGTCCATGGACCCCAGGGGCATCCTGAAGGCATTTCCTAAGCGGAAGAAAGTTGTTGCCGAGCCATCATCCAAAGCCCTCGCAAAGATCCCCAAGAAGGAAGCCAGAGAAGAAGTGGGAGGTGAGCCGGCTTGAGCGCCCTCACTGGTTTGAGCGCTCAGCCTGTCTGTTAACCGCATGGTTTCATGCCCAGAATCAGGGCGGCGAGCTGTCAGCTCAGGGCCTTGCCCTGTGCGTGCTCCTAGGTCTTGGAAGGCCACTTCCTGTACTTCTATCCCCACCCAAGACCACAGTCCATCTGCACTTGGGGCTGGCTTTCTTGGGAAGTGACCCGCTCTGACCTATGTTCTGTAGAACGGAAGCGCCACTCAGGGCCCAGGGCTGTACATTGTTTGGCCAACAGATTGACAAATTGATGGCAGAGGCTGACATGCGAGAGAGCGTTAGCAGCGCACTTTGAGACCATGAGCCTGAAACACGGCTGCCCGGGGTCGCACAGAGAGCCGGGGAGGCAATGGGAAGAATGGAGTGGTGCAGACAGGAAAGAGAGATTCACCCATTCACTCAACAGTGCTTCTGGGAAACCCACACTCCGATGGGCACTAGTCGACATACGGGGCTACAGCCGAGAACAGGACCTGGAAGGCTTTGCTCCATTCGCCCAAGCGATGCCCCACAGACATTGGCTTTTGATGTAGGTGGGATTCCCACAGGCAGGCTGGATGGGAAAAAGAAAGCATTAACTCACTGTCACCAATTCAGACTATAGAACAGATTAGAGCTGCTCCTGTGGACCATAACTTCTTACACGAGTAGAAAGCCTCATCTTTCTCTCAGGGATCACCTGGTGGTTTCAAACTGCTGACCTTGTGGTTTGCAGCCCAACACATAACCCACGATGCCACCAGGGTTCCTAAGCTATCCAGAAGGACAGAAACATGACTGCTTGGTGGGGAGGGGCTAATGAAAGGTACATTCTGATCATATCTGAAAGTCATAACAACAAGCATTTGAATGTCCCCTCCACAGGGTGGCTGAGCTCCCTGCGGGCCCATGTTGTGCCCACTGGCATTGGGCGAGCCCGGGCTGAACTCTTTGAGAAGCAGATTGTCCAGCACGGTGGCCAGATCTGCCCTGCCCAGGCCCCAGGGGTCACTCACATTGTGGTGGATGAAGGCATGGACTGTGAGCGGGCCCTGCGTCTCCTTAAACTGCCCAGGCTGCCCCCAGGTGCCCAGCTGGTGAAGTCAGCCTGGCTGAGCCTGTGCCTGCAAGAGAGAAGGCTGGTGGACGCGGCCGGATTCGGCGTATTCATCCCTGACAGGTGGGCTGGGCAGATGGGCCCTCTCCTGAAATGCTTTCCGGCAGCATTTTGGGCCCTCTCGTTGAATTGAAAACAAAAAACAATTTAAAAAAAACAACCGTTCATTGTCTTAATTGGAGACCATGGGAAATCAAGATTCCAGAGAGAAACCGGGGTGGGGGGTGGGCAGAGATAAGATAAGAACTCCCATCACCATCTCTGCAGGTACTTGGACCAACTACAGCCCAGCAAGGCCAACCAAGAGCCTTCTACTACTCCTGGTTCCCATGAGGCTCTGCTCAGGACACCCCTGCCGCCGCCTCCTCCTCCTTCGCTCATCAGACCCATATCTCCTTTCTGGAAAGCAGAAGAGGCACCGAGTACCCCTCCCCAGGTCAGGAACCTCCCAGCCTCCATAGCTGGCCCCTGGCAACTACCTTCTAGAAAAGAGGAGCTGGTGGTAGACATAACCCCAGGCCCGGGGGAGGAGGGCTCCCCTTGGAGAGGCCCTTATCCTCCTGCATTGAGCCTGGGGCTGGACACCGGGGCGCCACACAGCATGGCTCCACCTGGAAGGGGACCCGAATCTGAGGCAGAAGACCCAGCTCCATTCTCCTGGGAGGCTCGGCCCCTCCCTTCCAGGCACCCTGCCCTCCTCACAGAGAGCAGGGATTTATCATCTCTTCTTTCCCACCTCAAGGCTGGCTCTGATCATGAAACCGATGATGGGGAAGAGACCCAGGTTAGCACGGCTGACCTGGAAACCCTGATCAGTGGCCGTGACCCCACGCCCCTCACAGGAGATGCTGGACCGAGTCCAGCCCCGGAGCCTCTGGACAAGTGGGTCTGCGCACAGCCTTCGAGCCAGAAGGCCACCAACCACAACCCCCACATCACAGAGAAGCTGGAGGTGCTGGCCAAAGCCTACAGTGTGCAAGGAGACAAGTGGAGAGCCCTGGGCTACTCCAAGGCCATCAATGCCCTCAAGAGCTTCCACAAGCCTGTCACCTCCTTCCAGGTACCTGAGGGCTGGGGCAAGGGGAGGGGCTCTTCTCCTGACTGATCAGGGGTGGTAGTTTAAATTCCATAATGTTAGGGATTCTCAGAAAAGGAAAGAAAAAGAAAAAGGGGGGCCCTTGATGAAAGCAGATTGACCAAATATTGATCATTGTTGAGGGTCGAGGACGGGGACTTGTGGGGGTTGTCATACTGTCTGTTTAGACTCTTGGGACCCACAAGCCCCGGGTTGAATTGTTTCCCATCATTCACTAGGTAGTGGTGTGACTTTGGGCGAGTTACTTGAACCCTCTGCGCACCTGTTTGCTCTCAAACAGAAGGGTGTCAGCTTAGTGCCTGGTCCACAGTGTGCCCAGAGCACTGTAGACCTGCCCGGGATCACAGGTGAGCCCTGGATCAATGTCATCTTGTCGTTGGCACGATGGTGGCAACGACCGGCATCATTTCCCTACTGTCCTCGGCTGGCTTCCATTCCTCTGGGAATCAAGAGGCAGGTGACCCAGCCCCCACTCACCGTGACGCTCACGTCTGCCACCGTGGTCCTGCAGCTGCCAGCCAACCAGGCTGGCCTTCCCCTGGGCTTTTGCTAAAGAGGGAGCCTCCATGCCTGGCACTGGCTCGGTGCCTCACGACGTCCCACTAGTGGCCTTCGCTCCCGATTCTCTAGGAGGCCTGCGGAATCCCTGGCATCGGGAGGCGGATGGCCGAGAAGATCGCGGAGATCCTGGAGAGCGGGCACCTGCGGAAACTGGACCACATCAGCGAGAGCGTGCCTGTCCTGGAGCTCTTCTCCCACATCTGGGGTGCCGGCACCAAGACGGCCCAGATGTGGTACCATCAGGTCACTTCCCAGGCACAGCCCCCACTTTGGTTTTGTGTGACTCAGGGCTACCATCACGTGGTCCCCTTACACCTGTGCTGGGACAGGGATGCATCCACATGAGAGGGAGCCCCCTTTTCAAGGTACCCGGAGCCCTTGTGGCATAGGGGTTACACATTGGGCTGCTAACAGCAAAGTCAGCAGTTCTGAGCCACCAGCCAATCCTTGAGAGAAAGACGGGGCTTTTTACTCCGGTAAAGAGTGACCGTCTTAGAAGCCCACAGGGACAGTCCTACCTGTCCTAGAGGGTCGCTATGAATCAGAATCGACTCAACGGTAGTGAATTTGGACTGGTGGGGTTTGGGGAGGGGAGGCGGGGTTGGTGCTTATACACCCCTACTGGCTTCTGGAACAGCCTGTTCGCTGTGCGGACTCCTTGATGCACTCATCGGTGATGTAGGCAGACTCAAAGTGGGTGTGTCTGCCCCTCTGGCCTGCAAGGGCTTTCCTGAGGAGAGCAGGCCTGGGGCTGTGCACCCCATCAGTGGCCCCCAGGCCTAATTGTGCTCAGAATCTTCGGGCCCATCCCCAGACTGAAGGGGTCAGAAGCAAAGGTGGAGCCTGCGAGCCAGTGTGTTACGGCTGTGTCACCCTGATGTCAAAATGTACTCTGCTGGGCTTGGTCACACGCCAGGCCTTCCCTGAGCCTTGTGGGGCCGGAGGTCTTGGGGTGGGAGCTGTGTGTGTTTGTGCGTGTGTGGTGTGGTATGTGCGTTGTGTGCGTGTACGCTCGCTGTCTTGTCATCTGCCCTCCATGCTCATAGGCTCTTCCCCCGGCTTCCTTTTCCAGGGCTTCCGGAACCTGGACGACATCCGCAGCCAGGCCTCCCTGAGCAGCCAGCAGGCTATAGGCCTGAAGCACTACGAGGATTTCCTGGAGCGCATGCCCAGGGAGGAGGCTGCAGAGATCCAGCAAATGGTAGGCAGGGGGCCCAGAGCATGAGGAGAGCGAGCCCCGCTCCCAACCCAGAACCCCTGGTCGCCCAGCCGAGGAGGCCAGTGGCAGAGGAAGCAGTGGGTCTCAGAAGCTGACCAGTGGGGAATGAGCAGAGAGGTGGGCACTGCGGCCCCAGGGCAGAGGGCGGTGGTGGGGTGGGGGCAATAGCAGGGGCTTCTCAGGTCAGGCAGGGTGAGACCAGGCTAGACATTAGCATGGGACAGGGATTGGGTTGATATTAGGCTAGATTGGAGGCAGCTTGTGCTCAGAATTGTTTCAGGTTATTGGGCTTTAACCTCAGCTGTGTGTAGATATAAGCGTCCTGGCTGCATTGTGGTTACCTATTGGGCTGCTAAGCACAAGGTCAGCAGTTTGAAACCACCTGCCACTTTGTGGGAGAAAAATGAGGTTCCTACTCCCAGAGAGTTACAGTCTCAGAAACCCACAGGGGCAGTTCTAACCCGTCCCATAGAGTCACTGAGTCGGCATCGACTCAATGGCAGGGAGTTTGGTGTGGGCTTCTGGTGGTCGGATGGGTTAGGTCAGAGGTTCTCCACCTTGCTGTGAGTCACACATTCCTTTGAGAACTCGGTGGAACCGTGGCCTCTTACCCCCAAGAACACACAAGCTTGCCACGTTTGCTGTCGCAGTCTCTTTCCCTGGAGGCCCCGGGCTGGGTGAGAACGAGGCGAGCCCCGCCCCAGCCGACTGCGGCTGGGCGTCAGAGGCGAGCTTGGCCAACAGTCAAAGGCAGGTTGGGTCTGAAGCAGGATTAGGGGTTGCTGGTTGCAGTGTGGTTGTGTCGGGAGTCAGGTTTGGGCGGGTCTGGGTTTCATTCAGAGTGGGGTTAGGGGTTGGGTCATGTCAAAGTTGGATTAGAGCGAGGCTAGTCCACATTCGGGGCTGGGATCCCATAAAGGTCCCGTGGGAGCTGGCCCCCGGCTGCAGGGCTGGTTGTGATGGACACGTTTGCTCCCGGAGCCAAGGGTTCAGATGGCTGGGGCTCCTTGGAGACTGGCCCAGTCCAGTTGCAAGCAGCCTCTAGCTGCTCGCCGGGGCTGAGGCCGCCTCCTTATGCATGCTGGGCGCCTTGAGTCACCATCACCGGGCCTTGGCGCTAGTGATGACTCCATGACACCGTCACTCAGCTACGGTGTCCGGGCACAGAGAATGCCGCGCCAGCCCACAGCCCACAGGGGCCCAGCAGCTTCCCAGCTGGCCCCCAGTGCCCGCTGTGTGGGCCCCAGCTGAAGAGGTTTGATGGGATTACTGTCGCAGGGAGCGAGGGGATTAGCAGAGCCCTCCTGTCACGAGAATTGAGGGGTCCTAGCTGTGGGTAACCAGGGCCCCAGAAATCCTAGTATCCTGGGGCAGAGGCGGGGAGGCCATCTGCATATGAAAACCTTCGGTGTCCTTGGGGAGGACACTAATGGGCTTATCAGCCCTCAGTCAGGGATGATCCCTGAGCCTACAGCCCCCCCGCAGCCTGCTGCTCCAAGTCCCTAAGTGCTGGGCACGCACGCACGTGGGCGCTGGAAGGCTCCCCTCTGCTTTCCACTCTCAGTCCTTTCACACTGTGTGGTTCCATGTCGTCTACAGCAGGCCCCTCCGGCCTGGGCTTCAGGCACCCTGCCTGCCTCCACTCAGGCCTCCAGGTCCAACTCACACCGCCTGCCCCTGCAGACAAACCCACAGAGCCCTGGGACCACTACCACCTGGCACCCGCCCCTTGTCCTGCCTGGGTGGGGTTTCACGGCAGAAAGATCTGTGCCCTCTCTCAGGACTGAGGCCTGGCAGTCGGTTCAGGCCTTTTTCTTCCTCTCCTGCCCAGTAGGAGCCGTGGGGGGCAAAGTGGGGTTTGTGTTGGTCAGCGGTTCGAATCCACCAGCCTCCCAGGGAGAAAGACAAGGCTTTCTACTCCCAGAAAGAGCTGCGGTCTCAGAAACCCACAGGGACCATTCTCTAGGGTCGCTCTGAACCCGGATCGACTCGATGGCCCCGAGCTGAGCTGTCTCTTGGTGAAGCTGGAGAAACACCTCCCCTCCAGACAGCACCCCAGGCCTCTTCTCCTGGGGGCCGTTCCCTCAGGCTGGTACCCCCATGCAGGGGTTGGCTTGACTTATAAACTGGGAGTGTGGACCCCCGGGCCAGCGAAGGCCTTCTTGCTGCCCCTTGACAGGAACCCCATACAGGACATGAGGCCCACAACCCTTGACCCTGTCAACACTCTTACCTAGGTCCAGGAGTCGGCCCAGGCCCTCAATCCGGGGCTGCTCTGTGTGGCCTGTGGTTCGTACCGGCGGGGAAAGGCCACCTGTGGCGATGTGGACGTGCTGGTCACGCACCCTGATGGCTGGTCCCACCAGGGCATCTTCAGCCTCCTCCTTGACAGCCTCCGGAGACAAGGTACACGCTCCACCCCTGGAGGGGTGGGTTGGTAGGGGTCAGGGCAGGGCTGGGCTGGTCCTCCCAGGAAGGAAAGCCACCAAGTTCCAAACAGGAAGGTTGCTTCTTAAGAAGCCCACCTCCTTTATGGCCAGAACCACTTCCAGGAGACAAAGTAGCTCCCCCTACTCCCCAGAGACCCTCAGCACCTGTAGGCCGGTCCTGTGTGGTCTCTGGGACGCAGTGGGGAGGCAAGCCCTGCAGATCAGTGGGCAAGCTGGGGGCCAAGGAGGAGGGGAGACATGGAGGAAGGGAGACATGGGCGGAGCAGGCAGCTCGGGGACTCCCTGCCCTCCCAGCAGCCCCCTGTGTGGTGCAGGGTTCCTGACTGATGACCTGGTGAGCCAGGAGGAGAAAGGCCAACAGCAGAAGTACTTGGGTGTGTGCCGGCTCCCTGGGCCCGCTCGGCGGCACCGGCGGCTGGACATCATTGTGGTGCCCTACAGCGAGTTCGCCTGCGCCCTGCTCTACTTCACCGGCTCTGCCCACTTCAACCGCTCCATGCGGGCTCTGGCCAAGACCAAGGGCATGAGCCTGTCGGAGCACGCGCTCAGCATGGTGGTCCGAGACGCCCAGGGCCTCAAGCTGGGGCCTGGCCGGCTGCTACCCACCCCCACGGAGAAGGATGTCTTCAAACTCCTCGGCCTCCCCTACCGAGAACCGGCTGAGCGGGACTGGTGACCCCCCTTGCTGCAGCTGACCGAGCCTGCACGAGGTCCAGGGTCCTGGAGGCTACCTGGGCCTGGGCCCCACCTCTGACCCTGGGAGTTCTGCACATGCTCCACTTCCCGTTCTGAGCAGGGCAGGAACTGGTAGCTGATTTGAAGTCCGGTTTCCTGTGCTGAGCACCCAGACCATCCCCACCATCACCCTGGAGATGCCTAGCTGCTGGGGGAGGGGGCAGGCAAGCAGCTGTGGACCCTGCATCATCCGGACCCTTGTAGGGGAAGGAACAATTCCAGACGCACTCGTGACCCACCCCACTTCCTATGCAACTGCAAGGGCGGGAGGACTCGGTGGAAGGCCCAGGGGCCCAGTAAAGTGCACTTGACATTGGTTGCCTGTGTCCGTGAGCTGTTGCAGGCCCTGCCTGCCTTCTTCCTGCCCAGGCAGCCAGGGTGGGAACCGAGGGGGAGGCCCGGCAGGCTACTGGAGCTGCCCTGCCACCTGCCCTGAGCTCAGAAGTGGGCCAGGAGTGACACCAGGAGAATCCCCAAGGATAGACCTTAGCTCCTCTCTCTCCAGACCCTGTGGACCTGGCTCTAGACCCGCCTACCAGGGAGCCCTAGGCCAGGCTCCCGGGGACACAGACAAAGCTGACACAACTCAGATGAAACAAGGACAGTTCTGTAGTGACCTGTTGCCGTTGACCAGCTGTGGGGTTAGGGGGCCTCTCCAGGTTCTGGCCTCTTGGCTGCCTGCTGTGGGGGAGGGAGGGAGACAGAAGGATTGGAGAGGGCTCATCAGGCTCTGTGGGGACAGGGAAGCAGCGGATGCTGGGAGTCAAGAGAAGGTGGACCTGGCAGAGGCTGGGTGGTGTCTTAGATAAAGTCTTGCAGGACTGGAAGATGAAGGAGGGTTGGGGGGGTGCCAGGTGGGAAGGTTGATGAGCACAGAGGTAGAGAGGAAGGCAGAGGACAGCAAGGGACCCACAGAGGCCCCCAACTGGATGTGGAGGTGGCCAGAATAGTCGGTGTGTTTGGGGCGCTGCATCCCTGTCAGTATCTCAGAGTCCCAAGCTGCCTTCTGCCGCCTCTCCATCAGCAGGGCCCAGCCTCTGGAGCCCTGAAATCCAAGCCCGAGCCGCCACGGGGCCTTGCCTGCAGGGAGCCTCCTGGGGCAGGACCAAAAGTTCAGAGGGCTCCCTGATAACTGGGTATCTGCCAGAGAGCTACTGGGGAAGACTCCCAACCCTCATGGGGGGCAGCCCCACTCTGGCACCTCATTTCTAGGGCCACAGCCTGCCAGGGGCAGGAGTGGGTGGGGCAGACAGGGGAGGAGTTGGGGCACCCTGGGCCCTGAGAGAACGGTGGGTGAAGCATGGACTGCTAACTGCAAGACTGACAGTTGAAACCCACCAACAGCTGCTCAGGAGGAGGAGGAGGAGGAGGAGGAGGCCGCCTGCTGCCAGAGAGACACTGGAAGGCTGAGGGGCCGTTCTGCTCAGTCCTGCAGGGCTGCTCTGGACTGGCCCTCGGCCTCTGTGCCCGGCCCAGCCGTGGTGCGGGTGTCTGGGCTGCTGGTGTCCGAAGGCTGCTGTGTCTGGGCCCAGAGGTGGGAGTTTCTCCCCGCTCCAGGACGCAACCTGCTCCCCAGTGGCCACATTCAGAGCCCCGGGCCTCCCTGCTCCCCTGGGGATCACAGTGTCACTTGGCCAAGTTAAATCTTTAACTCCTTCCTCCACACCAGAGGTTCCCTGGACTACAGGGAGGGGTCATGTGAAACTCGGGACCTGACCCATCCTGCCATCCTATCCCCGTCTGCCTTAATTCCAAGAGGCTCACAATTCAGGTTCCTGGTCCCTCCTGGTGTGGGCAGCAGGAACTCACGGGATGCAGGAAAAGCCCCCACCTGGGGTGACACTGCACTGTGCCCATCGGGACTAGGGTGACACTGTTCCCACCCCATCTTGTGGTGTGACACTTTGCTGTTCAACCCCACATAGGAGCCCTAGCGAGAAACTGCTGAGGTCAAGGAGCTGGTGGGCACATTTCCACTTCCTGGGGGAAAGGCGAGGGAGGGGTGGGCTCTGTGTCCAAACAGCACGCAGGGAGAGCGTCCCTGGGTTCCCTGCAGAGCAGGGCCCAGTTCCTGGGCAGGCCTCCAACCCAGACGCCCATCCTGCTGGGGCAGAGGCTGGATTTCCTGGGGCAGAGGCTGGGTCCTGGGGACTTGCCCAGTCACTGAGCTGCTCACCCACCCTCCACCTTGCCCTGCGGGAAACAGGGACCCCAGGCCTGCTTCCTGCCCCCAGCCCAGCCCGTCAGCATCCTGTTGTTGAGCCAGGGATGTCCCTATGCAAACCCTATGAGTAGGCAGAATGGCCCTCCATGGATGGAGCTTTCTACTCCCATAAAGAGTTACATCTCAGAAACTCACCAGGGCCGTTGTCCTGAAGGGTCGCCATGAGTCAGCATCAACTCCAGGGCAGTGGTTCCAAGTGAGGAAGCGGTCCATGTCCCAATCTCCAGAATCTGGGACTGCGCTTGTATGTGTGGTGGAAGGGACGGGAACCCTGAGTGAGATGATGCAGATTGCTCAGTCTAATCAGGAGTCCATAACAGCGGAGGGCCTTTCCAAGTCATCTGAGAGGTGACTGGTGGGAAGGCCCGAGGTGCACCGTTGCAGCTTTGGGGAGCAAGAGGGGACCACCCGTCACGGAATGCGAGCAGCCTGTAGACGTTGGAAAAGGCAGGGCAATTGGCTCTTCGGAGCTTCCAAGAAGGACCTCAGCCCTGCTAACACCTTCATCGGAAACCGATGAGGCTGGGCTGGGCTTCACACCTACGGAAGCATGTGCTCACTCACACAGCTGTGCTGAGTGAAGCCTCGTTTGTTACTGCGGCCAGAGAAACCACTAGGCCGCGTGCCTCCGGCCGCGGTGGTGTGAGCAGGCCCTGCTGGGGGCTAAACAAGACTGAAACCCAGCCCGGTGGTAGGGCTTAGTGCCTGGAAGAAAGAGGTTTGGGGCAGGCAATGCCCAGGCTCAGCCACGCGCTCCATCTGAGCTCCCCGACTCTCAAGTTCCCTCAGACACTTTGTGCCCAAGAAGCTAGCCCTCTTCAGTGGTTCTGCCCCAGCACCATCAAGGCAGGAGCCTCACCTTTTCCAGGGCTGGGGGCGATGACCTTCCCCTGGACCCTAGGCTTACATGGGGGGTGGCAAGAGAAGAAAAGCAAACCTTCCGCAGAGGGTCTGCCTGCTTGTGGGGGTGCAGGGGTGGGAAAATGGGCATGATCCTCCTAGCCAGTACCTACCCCCAGGCGTGAGTGGTGTGGCAAGGTGGTGGCAGCTACGTGTCATGGAGACTCATAGCCACACAATTTAGAATGAACCACCTTTGTCAGTTCATCTCATTGAGAACCGTGCTCTTTTTCTGTTTTACCAAACATGATGTCCTTCTCCAAGTACACGAGACACAGTCCTGCCAACCTTGCTTCTAAGGAGCATTCTAGACATACTTCTTCCAAGAGAGATCTGTATGTTCTTTTGGGGGTCCAGGGCACGTTCAAGATTCTTCACCAACACACTAATTCAAATGCATCTGCCTCATTCCATGTCCAACTTTCACCTGCATATGAGCCGATTGGAAAGAGCATGGCTTGGGCCAGGTGCACCTTAGTCCTCAAAGTGATCTCCTTGCTTTCAACACTTTACAGAGGCCTTGGGCAGCAGACTTACCCAATGCAATGTGCCATCTGATCTCCTGACTGCTGCTTCCATGACCACAGATTACGGAGCTAAGCAAAATGAATCCTTTACAACTTCAATATATTTATCATGATGTTACCTATGGGTCCAGGTTTGAGGAACGTGGTCTTGACATTTAAGTTGTAGTCCATACTGAAGGCTGCACCCCTTGATCTTCATCAGCAAGTGCTTCAAGTCCTCCTCACTTTCAGCAAGCACGTTTGTGTCACGTGCCTATCATAGGATATTAATACGCCTTCCTCCAATCCTGATTCCGCATTCTTCCTATAACCCAGCTTCTCTGATGACTTGCATGGCAAGGTAGGCTTGTCCTGAGGGGTCCACCGGCTGGGAATGGAACTTCCAGCCCTTCGTCCTGCTTCTCCAGGAGAGGGGCAGAACTTCTAGCCCCTCCGGGAATTTCTGCCCCTTTAACTAGTAAAGGAATGTCTCTTGCCAGGGCTGCAACCTCCCTTCAGCAATCGTCCCCACATGGAAGCTACAGCTGTTGGCACAACTTCCTGCTGCTCAGACTGCAGACCCAGCTAGGAGTGTCCGGGGCCAGGGGCAGCTTAGGCCCACGGTCTGGGCTCTTCAGTCTGGGCAGCAGCCAGGGCCTCGGAAGACACTGGGTAACTTTGCTGCTGAGCAGCAGGAATGCGGATCCTCTGGGTTGAAGCCCCCAATCTGGGTTAGGCCCCATCCCAGGGGGCTCAAAAGCTTTGGCCCCAACCCTGGAGGAAAGAATGAGGCAGCAAAGACCTCCTGAGAGCATGCAGGGTCCTGAGACAAGGAGAAGGCCCACGAGTCGGGGACTGCTGGGAGGGCAGGGTAGGCACACACCAGAAGACTGCTTGAGGCTGGGGCCTCTTCTTGCCCAGCTGGGCTTGGGTCTAAGCAGCCCCAGGCCCCTGGTGGCAGCACTGACCCCACCTGGAGCTCTGTCTGTACCCGTGTGTCTTCCGGGAGTCTGTCCCTGGATGGCTGTTTGTGTGCCCACTGACGCTGGGCCCTGCAATGGCTGCTGCCTGGGGTGACTTTGTACCTTCTGATGGGTGCACCCAAGGGGTATTGGGGTGTTCCAGTCTCTCTAGAGCCTGGAGGCAGGGGTGTCCCTGGAAGTCCCCAGGGGTGCTAGGCAGACACTTCAGCCAGTGGCAGTGCCCGCCATGCCCGGGTCCTTGTGTCCGTGGAGGCGGCCGCAGGGCGGGCCTGCGTCAGCCTTGAGCGGCCATCAATAGCGTGCGGTTAATTAATTTGATGGGAACAGCAGGGACCGCCGTTTGCATTTAGTGAAGTTCCAGGAACTTCCAACCTCATCTTCATAATTGGCCTCATAAATTGTAAGAAAGAGAGAGATCAGCAAAGCAGGAGGGAGGAGGGGCTGCCCGTCCGTCCTTATTTAATTTTATTGCTGAAATTCATCTTTTTAGCCTCCTCCGGAATCGGCTCTCCCTGCCGGATTTGCCTAATCATGATAAATTAATATTCATTTCCCCGCCTCTTCCCCAGCTTCTGCGCTGTGGATGAAGTTTTGGGGGGG